TCCCATGTGATAATTGATCAACCAATTAGTGATTTTGCCCCTCCCTCCTTGTCTCTCCCTCCCCCGCCTCCCCTAATGACAGGACCCGATTACGTCCGAATGTTACAATTGATTATATGAGACAACTCCCACTGTGGGGGGGGGAGGGGGGACGGGGCGGGGCGGGGCGGGGCGGGGCAGATGTATACATACACATTCACAATACATCTTGTTGCTTCGCACCTGCCATATTTGGGATAGTATTAATTTGATGTAGCTGTGACTTCTCGGGGAGAACGAAACTTTCCCAGTGTCATCTGACTGTTTTCATGCGCGCATTTTCAGTCTTTATCGCACAAAATGCAAGGTTTTTGCTGCACCAGGACTGCCCAGGAACTCATCCGGCATCAAGTTATGTCAAATTAGGCTTTATACACTAGACGAGGTGAATTTTCAACGATTTTCACGATAATACTATGGAAGTGGAAGGGGGAGGAGGACTTCATCAGAGTGTGAAGTGAGGTAAGCAAAAAGNGCAAACTGCAAGCCAGAAGACGATAATGATACATTAAAACAAATAAATAAACTAACTCATGAGGTGTTCAACCACACCTGTAATAATTGATGCCTGATTTACTAGAAAGCGAGCAAGAAAAGAGAAGAGAAGATTGTTTCTGTATGTGACGGTGCGTGCGGGAACGAGCCTATAATGGAAGCTGATACGGGGGTTTGACATGGATTTAATAAGTTCGTTGTTCAAGATTCTGTCGGCTATGCGTCCATATGCTTGCACACAATAGAGTCAACCAGAACTTCTCTGGCTATACCACTAGGTGGTAGATTGTGGGATAGAATGACTCCGAGTTATTTGACAGAATCAGCTTTGGGAATGCTGTGACTGTTAAAGACAAGATGCACCTTAGGGTTTCAAGTCACAAGCTCCGTGACGCTAAATCCCTTCCGCTTTATGAATTGCGGTGTTCACGCACCGCCTTGCGTGTCAGGCTTTGGCTAGCCGAAGACTCCGGTTTGTGGATTATCTAAGAAAATTCATCTGCTCTGGTTTTATGCCACTTGTCAGTTTACTGCGAATTTGAACTATATTACAATGTTTTTGATGCTTGTTTCTGTATTCTGGTCCGAGCTCGTTTGAGTTTTTAAGCCATAGATAACCTTTTCTTGAAATATAAAATCCACGTGAACTCATGGGAAATAAAGCCGGCAGTCAATAGATTTGTGAATATCCTTGATGGCTTCTGTAGCTATGGGTGGAAGTCCCATTGCTCGCAGAGAAAATATATTCCTGTGTCTTTAGTGGTACATGTACGTCATCCGGTCGCCTCATTCTCGACTATGCTTGTCTCTCAGTCGATTGCAACCGATATCGGGAAGTTAAGTGGCGTTGATAATGACACATTGAGCAATCGGCCCGATGTCGTTACCAGCCTATCCGCTGGGAATTGGTTCAATGCTGTCCGATTGCATTCCTGTTCGTGGTTTTCTCTAGCCTAATGTTTTGGATGGTGGCACAGTGGTTTAGTCGCTGTCACCGACTTGCTTTGGACCCAACGGTCCTAGGTTCGTTCCCCGATACCGCCAGCCAACAACTTTCGTGGCTGGCAGCTTTGCTGTCGTCCGGTTCAACACCACACCTAATCTAGCCTGGGGGCCTTATGTGGTTTTCCATTCCGACGGGGATTTTGGGTCACCGGTTTTCATCACTGAACAGCCGCGGGTCGTCGTGGCTATTTGGGGTTCGCCCCGTCTACTGTTCATCACACAAATGTGTCATGAAAAATATCGATCAACAGATCGGCTAAGAACTGCACTTGGTCCGAATTCCTTCTCCAAAAATTGGAGATTCCAAATGGCTTATTGGTTGGGGTATTGGGTAGCAGCACCTTTGAGGTGATAAACGGTCGTGTTCTTCTTCAATCACTACCGGGCTCATCCTGGTCAACTGCTGGGCAATCAGTTATCGACACCCGTTAAACTTGCGTCCGCCGACGCACGGACTGCGAAATAGGTGACTTTGACCTACTGAGTTAACGGTTACAGGAACTACCCTCCCCCCTCCGGCGCATAGATCTCTGGCTGGCATCGATATTTATCATTTTTTTAGGGAGCCACCAAAAACCGCACAGTAACACACTACTGCCTCGCAGTTCGCACTTTGTTATGCAAGGGATACAGTTGTTGCACCGCTGAAGGGAACTCGCGTGATACTGCGGCCGCTGTATCAAACTGAGGTTATGTGTGTATGAAGACGAAGTGTGAAATGTGGTCGATCGAAGTTAAGAAATTCTTTTGACATCTGTTTTGAATGAGAACCAGATTCAGTTCCATAGTTTTCAACACCACGCTAATCATTTGCCTATTTTTATTACCCCTCCCCCGCCCACTCCACAGACCAGAGTCACGTGACAACTCTCGGCCGAAACCGTTTTGTCCTCGCCTCGGTCCAATCACGTGTGTGTGTGTGTGTGGCTTGTTGTTTGCATTTCGGCACAATCCGTGTATCCCGACGGATGCGGAAACTCACGCACATGCACGCGCGCACACACACACACTCGCGCACGCACACTCATATACTATTTTTTTACTCGTCTTTATTGGCTATACACGATTAAGCAGGTCCCGTTTATGTTGTTCATTCCCAGTATTGTAAACAGGTTTATTTATTTATTTCTTCATTATTTGTATTTATTTATTTCTCTATCGCTTCACCCTTTTCCGTCTTCCAATTTGAACTTTTGATACACTCGAGAATGGTACGCTCAATCTCCTTTATGTGTGTGTGTGTTTGTGCAGATACATATTTTCCACTGTGTTCGATTTTGCCAAAATGCATTTATCCGGCCCGTTCTCTGGTCTTCTGTTCACATGCCTGTTGGGTAATGTTTACACTCCTATTCAAAAGTGATTCATCGTCGACACCGCCTCGTGTGCCAGTGAACAACAACATTGTGTCCAACTGTCCATCACATTTCTTGTTCGAACCAACAGTGCATAGCTTGGTGCACACGAGATAGCGAGTCCTGTGAGTTCGTACTCCTACTACTGTAGTACTCATCCCCCGGGATCAACCTACTGTACCAGTGCGGTCACCTGTGTGTGAACATATTGTTGCGGTTCCAACTTCTTTTTATTTCAGAAGCGAAATCTGTTTATTCGCTATCGTATATATGCACCGCGGTAGAAAACGCCCACTCGATCCTGTGCCATAAATAACTCACAGGCCCTCCAGTGTTAACAAGGGTCAAATGTTGCATTTGGGTAGTCATAGACAATCACTGTAGCCCAGCCAAGTGTTCCACGGGATGTCTTTTGACTCAGTCAGAATTCCGGGTCAAAGCTGTGCGCATTCAATGTTTCTGCTTCGGCGAGAGAAATCGGGGTCAGAGCAAGTGCACTTCGACCTTTGACAAGTTCACTCATTGGAATCATTGCAATTTTCACTCCACCACAATTGAACTAGTAATCGTCGACTGATCGTGGATGGGACATCTGTTTTGAAAGACCAGCGGCTAGAAGGACGTCCATGCAGCAAAACGTTTCCCGATACGCCCGTACACGCAGTACGAGGTGCAGATGACCGGGCGAGGAAAACGTGAAATGTAATCTCGCATTGTGAATATTGCTCAATGAGTGTAACTCACACACACGGTGTGGTCGACCTTTGGAGCCCATCACAGAGGACAACATTGCTGCTGAGCAAGCCATAGTGGAGAACGATGCGTGAATGACAGTGCCATAGCTGGCGAATGGCATCGGGATCAATGCTCACCATCCTACATGAGAAGCTCGGCTTCAGAAAGGCTTGCGCACGCTGAGTATCTCATCAGCTCAGTGAAAAACAGAAAGCAGTTCGGGTGAATTGGTGTAGCACCATGCTTGTCAGGCTTAATGGTGGACGTTCCAATGTAGTTTGGGATATCATCAATGTTGGTGAGACCTGGATGTACATACAGTTTCGGCCCAGAGACCAAGCAACAATCGACTCAGTGGACGCCGGTTGGTGGGGTGCCGCCTCAGAATTTTCGACGCGAGCGCTGTACTGCTCGTGCAACAAAGCTCATTTACAGAAGACTGATTTGCCATCTACTGTCTGCCGAAATCTGCTAGCAGCTGTGAACAGGCTTCGTCTAAGTACTCGAGCCCGAGGGACCTTGCTACACCATGAAAACGCACCTGCACACAGATTCCATGTCGACAATTTTGTGGCTAGAGAACGCATTCGGGAGGTTGGTCACCCACCTCACAGTCCAGACTTGGCTCCATGTGACTTTTCGTGTTCCTTAATTTCAAGCACACGCTGCGTGGAATCCGATACTATAGTCACCAACAACTGCATTGAAGGCCTTCATTGACATGGTCGAAGGGTCACTCGCGTTGGCATGTTTGAGTTGTGTCACCAAATGGTTTTTGCGCATGGATCTATGATACATGAACTTCAGTGGAGAACACTCCGACAAAATGCACTAGTCAATTTTGTGTAAACAAATAAATTTTTTGTGCATCCGGAAATATTCTTACTCAGCTCCGGTATGGCTTCATTGTCAGGCGAAGGTAGCACATGCATGTAAAGCGCAGAGACGTGGGACTCGTAACAGTGGCGGAAAGAAAAGTGATCGTGTGTGAAAAGATTTCGGTGAGGCATGGAAATCGAGGCGTTAGAAAATCTGCACTGGAATCAATCATGCTTTACCGGAAACAAGAATGCAATCCTTTCGGATTAAGTTGCTCATGATAGAATTTGTTGTCTCTTATTTTGAACGTCATGATGACGAATAATTTCTCAAGACCCAATCGAAAGGTAGCTGGGTCATGAGAAATTGTCTCCTCCTCGGTTCGATTCGTTTTGTTACGTCTGGAGGAGCACTGAATACCGCCTGCCTCACGAAACCAGCAAACAATGCACGGTGCATAACAATATTGCATTCCTTCCCGGAGTTTTTACTATTTCTACAGTCGTGAACAAGAGTAGCATTATTTTAGAACCTCGAGGGAGTCGGAATACAAGAAAATAGTTTCAACGGACATATTGCCGAAAAATCGCTATTTTTAACGAGACACATGTATCACACTCCCACGGAATGTGGCCATCAAAGCCAGGGGCCGTTGATCAGTTCGGGTTTTTTCATATAATTCTCACACACACACCTTGGCGTACACTGAAATGCAAAATCTCTGTCTACCGTGTTCCCCTCGTTGGTGAAAGATACGTCCACTTCTTTTGTTTGTTGTGTGAGTCCTCTGTCCGGTAGGATCCTCATCGTTGTAAAGCGTGATACAGTGAGAAGCAAAATTCACTAATCGCTACTAAACTCATATTGCGTACAATGTAAGTGAGAATGTGTAAGAAGGACAGGGAGTGGACCTATTTTTAGGGACGGGAAATGAAAGCGAACCTCTATGGTCAGCACAGAGTATACAGTTCAACTGTGCATACATACTTGTTCAAGCATTCTGGTCTGATAAAAAATGACAGCATGATCACCATTGCTGTCGGTTCGCGGCCATGATCTTCAGTGTCTCCAACCATGCGGTTTTGGAGTCTTTTGGACCCCAACCCGGAAGCCGAGAGACACCCACTCTACCTAATCGCTTTGTGCATTTCTTCATGCCTCGTCTCCACATCATTTGCTGGCCTCTACGTAGCTTTTTCCAGCCTGCAACAGCTACTGTGAATAAGGCGCGCTGGGGTAGGCAACTATCGGACATACGCAAAACCTATCATCACGAACGGAGCCTATTGAGCTGGATTCGATGCGATAGGGAGTTCTTGTTTGATGTATTCCCAAACAGCCGACGACTTATTCCTAGGTTACCAACCTGCGCACTCTATCCCACTTGGGCCAGACTACGTAATAATAGATTATCATAAACGACTGGGCGACGGTTGTATTTTACTCTCAAAATAAATATCTCAACCTGGAATCATTGAGAACAGAACATGCGTTTTCCATGGGACCAAGCCGTGGTGATGACACCACCATCATTTTGTTAAGCGTGCATTGCAGCCTTGTGTTGAAATAGCGCTTCCATCCGGTCCTCGTTCGATGCGAATGCGGTCCAAAATTAGTGGTGTTCCAGTAGAAGACCATATGCATCGGAATCGTGCATGCCACGTCCAAGTAGCGAGTTTGATTTGCACCGTTGATCAAGAAGTTGCTTGATCTCAACGACATTCGTATCCGCTTTGAAAACTCACTGGTCCCCCGTCGCATGATACGGGTGTTTGAGCAGTGTGCCCCTACCATGTCACACCGGGTTTGACACGACTGAACTGAACTGGCGTCCAGCGATAGATTGGCGGGCGGACTGTGAATCCCCGGATGCAGGCACATGGAACTTGAGTTCCATAATCTACGTGTACTAAGATATGGATAATCTAGCAATTCTGTTCTCTTGGGGTCTCGTTTTTGGATATTATTACCACGTCTTCGATCATCCATTTATTTTCTCGATTAAAGTCATTTTTGTTGCCCCTTTCGTTTGAAACGCTTAAACAGAGAACACGTTCAGAGACGAACATTTGTTTTCACTGATTCATCTTCCAGCCTGTACCAATCATATAAAGAGAAAATCATTCGCAATTAACTTGTGAGTGGTGGGTCGGGATAATTGATATTTTTTCATTTAAACTGACTATCCTTCAGACTTCACCTTCACGCACAATGCTCAGTTTGATGGATATGCACTACTGATAAGCTCTATTAAGAGCATAACTCGTGTCTAGTGCTTCCGAGTGTATAGTTGAATCGATGAACTCAAGATTGTGCTTGAAGGTGAAGTCTGATCTGAAGTCAAATCGATAAAAAATCATGTGTTAAACAAGTATAGACATTCAGTCATTGAAAAGTCACAGTGATTGGTTAGAAGGGCGAGCGAGTGGTGCGACTTGTTCCACACCACCTGGTCGCCACAACAACACTGCAATCAGGTTGTGATGCGTCATCAGTGCGATCAATCTTCGGCCACGGCAGTTGAATGACATGGGTCAATCTCTTTTTGCTCATTGATTTGGTGTGAACAAATGTATACCGATCGCCTCGGAAGTGGTTAGGGTGTGGAGACGCAACGATTTGTATGGTACTCGATAGATAACTTTGAAGGCTGACTCAGGCTTTACTTGGTGACCCGAGTCTGCTGGTTGAGCGAGAATAATGCTTCCTGTGACGCGTTTCCCACCGTGCTGAAGCCAGTGTGAACTGTGCTCTTTAATCTGCCGATGCAGTTGCCTCGCCGCTTCTCCAATGTAGGTTGCGTTAAAAAAGCAACTGAAGACAGACAGATTTTTTTAAATACACGAAAGTGAAAACAGTAAAAGGGGTAAACCCCATGATCCGAAGATATACTGTAAGTGGAAAGGTAAAGGGGAACATTTAATATAGAACCAACGTGTTGATTCTGCGTTTAAAAACACGGATGTACGTTGGAGGGAAGACTGAAAGGGGGAGAATATTCAACACAACTGTGCTGTTCTTGAGCACAAAGATGATTCAAAGTTAGTAATGCGAAACCTGTGGATAGTCTCTTGAAATGGGTAACTTGCCGATTGTCTACGAGGAAGAACAAATGGGAGAGAGACACGCGGAAAGTTCATCAGAGCAAAATCCAAAGTAGTATCGATAGAACAAGGATAAAGAAGCGACTGCCCGACAATGTGCTAGTGTCTACAATTTGTATGTTAGGAAAGGGTCATTGATGAGACAAGCAGCCTTACGTTGAACCCAATCAAGAAAAGCAAGAGGTGGACGAAGCTTCACCTCACACATGACTGCAGTATTCAAGTGTAGGGTGAATCTGAGTTTGCTAAAGTGAGAGAAGTAGAATGGGGATCGAGAAACGTCTGACGCGGAAGAGGAAACCGATTTTGTGCACAGCGCGGGAAACAAGTAGATAAAATCAAGTTGACCA